ATGCTTGCATAGTCATTGCATGCTTGCATACTCACCCTTGCATATCATGCTTGCATACTTACACTTGCATACTTTGACACTGGCATACTTCGCACTTGGATGCTTTCGCTCTTCCAGTGTGTGTGTGTGTAAGTGTGAGTGTCGAAGTGTAAGTGTCGAAGTGTCAGTGTTCAAAGGATTTTCCGGAAGAACCCTTCGCAATGCTTTCGGGAAAAAAAAACATGTCACACGTAGGATATCATCGAAGACTTTCTGAAAGTGAGATGGTCTGGGAAGTGAGCAAGCACCATGGCAAGGACGCCGTTGCAAACCACCAGCAAAACCTCAGAGACAATTCAACTGGCTGTGTCTGGAGAGGTCTCAAGCCACCGAATTGAAATCACATTCAACCTCCACAAAAACCACTGGGCATTGGCCGTTGGTCTTATCTCTGAAACATCTCTTGGTCCGAAAAAACCTGCACCATCAAAGGAATGAAATCACCATCGACAATCATCACGTTTCCGGGCCGCGCTGGTTCCGGCCTTTTGGAATTTGCTACGCCAAAACGTGGTCCTGTTTCTGTTCTGCACGAGCAGTTGAATGGATTTTTAGGAGACTACTTGGAGCAAGAAGCTACTAGGAGCACAGGGCATCGCTACCCCAATGCTTCAAAGGTATGTTTCTAAAACGTGCGTTGTTGCAAGAGCGTTTTTTTGTGGAAAAGCTTGCTTTTTGTGTGAAAGCCACTTCCTCTCAATTGACCCGTGATCGGGTTGTTCATATATGCTGTGTGAGGCCAGGTTCCATGCCTCTTCCGCGGCAAAAAATGGGCGTTCTACTCCAAAAAATGTCCCTTCTACGGTTTGTCTACGGCTTGTTTACGGTTCTTGAGCTGGGCCGGAGGCAAGGAATAGCAGGCAAGAAAATATAGGCATTGTTTTGCAAAAAGCATGCTTTCCGCGAAGGCTATTTAATTAATAGTCGATGAAGCCTAGGGCTACTATAGGAACAAGGACGCTACTAGGGGCTCCTGGCCGTACTACTAGGAGCAAGGAAGTCAGATTGGCCGAGAGGCGCGGCTCCTCTGCTCTGACGCCTGCAACGACCTTCAAACCTGCGGCAGCGAAGCCAAGCAGCATTGCCCAAAGGGACACTGTCGGTCAAGTAGGAGATCACGTAGGCCAGACCTGCAGACGTAGGAAAAGAGGGGCCTGAAGAACGGCCGATCATTAGATGGGAACGACCTGGTCATCTTGTCTCATCAAATCCCCGGTGCTAAATTGTTGGAACCCTAGTGGGCCCTCTGGTCTACGGCTTTTGGGCCTCGTCCAAACCAAGCGCGTTCGGAATGGAGCTCTTTCAAACGGAATGTCTCCAGAAACTTCCAGTCACACAGGTCCTCTTCGGTGTGAAGATGGGTCGATTTCTTCCCGTTGAAGTCAGCCCCCGACATCTCAATGTCAAGAGCAGAGCTGATGTTTCAGCTACCACTTCAGGCAAAAGCCACAATCGAAACATCTGCAAAAGCCACCAAACAAAGGTTTCGTGTGGTGTGGCATTCGTGACCATTTCGGGACACCCGTTTTCATCACCGTCGGCCGGCCCTGGTGCCGTCGCACGACGTCCAGCGTAACGTCAGGCTTCACCGTGAACTTCCCGGCAGTTCTAGTAGCTTCTAGCTACTAGTAGCGATGCCAGGAGCCCCGTTCGTGGCGTCCTTGCTCCTAGTAGTAAGGCCAGGAGCCCCTAATAGCTTCTAGCTACGAACGTGGCTTCTCGTGGACGTCAACGAACAACTCCCCCAGCGCAACAGACGCCCGTGTTGTATCACGTGCCCGGCAAGGCGCCGATCGCCGCGGGGGTGAAGAGCAGAAGTAGCGCAACGCTGGTCTTGGCATAGTTGATGAAAGCATCAAAGCCTGCGCTGGTCGAAAGGCATGTCCCATGGTCAATGCATGGGAAAATGACTTGGCAGTTTTAGCACAGCACATGAGCACCCATCTGCCACCCCCGTGGGAAAGGGCAAGGTGCATCGTGCTCCGAATCCGCAGTCAATAGCGATGGCCTCCCTAGTAGCGATGGCCTCCGACCTACTGTAGGCCCGTATTCGATGAATTCCATGCCTGTGATGTTCAAAAGCACGTAGAGCGCTAAGATTGGAATCGCGCCGAACAGGCAATCCTGCCGCGAGGAACGGCGGAAGAGAACAGCTGTCGGGAGAACAGGCGTCGCAAATGGGTGGGTGAACCGGACTTGTCTCTGCCCTGGCATGCTGTGGCAATGTGGTTTGGAACCCGTCCCAAAGCAGCATCGAGATCCAGTATGCCCTGGCTGAACAGCCAGAGATCATCAGCTGATGCTTGACATCCTGCGGAAAGCTTCACTCTCAAATCCGTGCAGATCACAGCTCTGAACCGGAAAAGAACCTTCAAAGTTCTGTCCTTGGTCTTTTCCATCAAAACGAACCCCAAGGCTGCAATCGGCACAAAGCAGAATGCAAAGTTGCTGAGCACAGCCACCTGCCACTTCGACTTGAACGAACCCCATTTCGGTAGCTTTCACGGATACGAAGAAGTAGGGTCCGAGTAGATACCCAAAGGGTCAATGGCAGCCCAAAGGCACATGCAACTTACTCGGTCCACTTCTGCTCCTCAACAGTTTTCAAAGGGGAAAACCGCTGAGCGCAAGGCCAAGATCGACGCCCAGCTTTGCGTCATCACGTTCCTCGGCACAGGGGGATGGAAGTTGTGGAGCTCCGTACGGGAGCGTGGAATCCAAGGTGTTCAATGAACTCCCTCGAAGTCGAGTTCGACGATATTTTGCTTCAGTGAAGTGCAGGAAGTTCAGTAAGACCATTCTGTTTACCGACTGGACTTTCAATGCATTTGTTGTGAAGTAGCAGTCAGTTGTCCATAGTTGTCCTGTACCCCCGTGTCCATGCTGCTGCGCACCCAAGGCACCATTCTGCATAGTATGCGGCTTCAGATGGGGTAAAGGGCAACAGCCTTGGATGAAATCGCCGTTGTCCGAAGGTGTCTTGACCATCGCTAGTAACGAGGACGCTACTAGGAGCAAAGAAACCGATCTCGTGGCATGTCCAAGTCCAATCGAGCCACTCAAGTCTCTGTTGCTCCAACCAACCCCCGATTCATGCCCCGAACCAAAATCCCCTGGTCCTCACTCAGCCCACCACTGGCTTTTCAAGGTCAAGTGAAGTCCTGTGGCCTCACGAAGTTGGAACACAACGAGAGGGATACAGCCATGGCGACTCCGTTGTTCAGGTTTTTCAAGGTCGGAAGTCACATGGATCACATCGAATCAGGTGGATGAAATATAACGGTTGATGTTCGTTCATATTTATATCTATTTCCACGGTACAGTGCTGGCGATCGCCGTACTACGACCGTCGTCCCTTCTCCGCACGCCACGCCTTCTCGAAGGCCTCCTCCACGGCCAAAGGGTACCCATTGGCGACCAGGGTCTCGTTCGCGGACACCACAGGAAAGCCGTCGAGGAACAACACACCTATCGAAAAACGGCCGTTTTGCCAGTAACCGATGCCATGTCTACAACATGCTTTGCAACACTTCTTTGCAACACTTAGTAGCGCATACCTACAGGAATACTTTTGGGGAGCAAGAAAATATCGGTTTACAGACCTAGCATCCATCGGAAACCTTCCAACAAATCAAAGCCCTCACAATCTACAATGCACTCCCAATTCAGATGCACATTGATCCGTCGATGATTCATTTACGTTGTCTCTGTGGCGATGTGATCGGTTGAATTCTTCAACAATGGACGGTTGCCTTGTCTTATCCATAAACCCAGACTATAGCTTAATCTCAGAAAAGTATAAAACATTTATATATATATATATAGTATATAGTAATAAAATATATTATATATTACTATAGCAAATAAAAGTACATGTATTTTATTCATTGAAATGAATTCTCGCCGGCCATTCGACACAAGACCTTCGACCTCCGGACATCTCGCCTAGGTCCTGCGGCTCCTTGGAGCCTCTTTCGATCCTCAGCTCCGCCAGCCTTCGTGGCCTCTGAGTTGAACAACACCCTCATCTCCAAGGACCGTCGTCTTCCATGTTCAGAGGTCCCTTATGGTCCCTTCCAATGTTTGCGAAGTTCCGTCATGTGCCTGCAGAATCATCCATACAGTCACGAGTTGCGCACCACAACTGGATTTGGGGCATGAGTGGCCCACACCCATGGGGTCGTGT